ATAAACAGATGTATGTACCAATCTAAGTAATACATAAACAGATGTCTGTAACAATCTAAGTAATACAAAAACAGGGGTCTGTAACAATCTAAGTAATACAAAAACAGATGTCTGTAACAATCTAAGTAATACATAAACAGATGTCTGTAACAATCTAAGTATTACATAAACAGGTGTCTGTACCAATCTAAGTTATACAAAAACAGAGATCTGTAACAATCTAAGTAATACAAAAACAGAGGTCTGTAACAATCTAAGTAATACAAAAACAGATGTCTGTACCAATCTAAGTAATACATAAACAGAGATCTGTACCAATCTAAGTAATACAAAAACAGATGTATGTACCAATCTAAGTAATACATAAACAGATGTCTGTACCAATCTAAGTAATACAAAAACAGAGATCTGTACCAATCTAAGTAATACATAAACAGAGGTCTGTACCAACCTAAGTAATACATAAACAGATGTCTGTACCAATCTAAGTAATACAAAAACAGATGTCTGTAACAATCTAAGTAATACAAAAACAGAGATCTGTACCAATCTAAGTAATACAAAAACAGAGATCTGTACCAATCTAAGTAATACAAAAACAGAGGTCTGTAACAATCTAAGTAATACAAAAACAGGGGTCTGTAAGAATCTAAGTTATACAAAAACAGAGGTCTGTAACAATCTAAGTAACACAAAAACAGTCTGTAAAATCTCAGGTAATGCAAAAACAAGGGTCTGTAAGAATCTAAGTTATACAAAAACAGGGGTCTGTAACATCCTAAGTAACACAAGGCCTACTAGTTCCTGTATAAACACTTCTCATTGATAATAAACAACAAAAAGTATAACATGTTTACTATTTCCAGAATAATTTATTTAAGGAGATAAAACCAACAACAACATGGAAACACATAAAGACAGAAAACCAACAGCTGACAGACCACTGGATGTCATACATGTTGGATGAGCAACAAAAACCAGTTGTAGAATTCTTAACTTCAATACCTTTGTTTCTTGACTTCTCTGACGGTCTTTGTCGTGGCACCGGTCTCTACCTGCTGAAGCACTTTGACCAGGAGTTTACCATCAAAACACATCTGCAAAACAAAATTACTTTCACTCACAGATTAGTGTAAGGAACGTTACATTTCTTGGCTCAAAATCTAAAACACAGATCTAAACTTCATCACAATTTCTGGGCTAAAGATCTCGTGATTTCCTATTAATAGTGATGATAAAGTCAAGAATCTTAAACTCAGAAATGCCAAAAAAAACATAGTGCACTCATTTTGTAAGTCAATGCAGGTGTTAATAGAGACATTTCTTGACTTACCTGAACAAATATGTTGATCATTATACTCATTCTGAGTCAACTTATTGCACAAAATAATTACATTAAAAAAAATATTTACATATATGTGTGTGTGTGTGTGTCTGTAGTCTGAAATACAATCGGAACCAATTACAGTATTTATAGGAGAAAAAATTATATTAGATCATTTACTAATTAGTTAAAACCAGAACACATTTAATATGTGCTCGTAGTGTAGCATGTGCTCGTAGTGTAGCACAACTGCAAGCAAGTACTAATTTCTTGTCTATAAAAATAACAACCAAGTAACATGAAACTTTTCTGTTAGAACATGTTACATTTGTAACCAAAACAAGTACAATAACATGTTGCATGCTGTTATAACTGATATATGAAAACATTAGTAGTCCATCAGTATGGTTTTTTTAAGAACTTGTCTCATCCTCCATGTGCTTGTTATGTTAGTTACTATTCTAAACATCCTACCGTGTTATGTTAGTTACTATTCTAAACATCCTACCGTGTTATGTTAGTTACAATTCTAAACATCCTACCGTGTTATGTTACTTACTATTCTAAACATCCTACCGTGTTATGTTAGTTACTATTCTAAACATCCTACCGTGTTATGTTAGTTACTATTCTAAACATCCTACCGTGTTATGTTACTTACTATTCTAAACATCCTACCGTGTTATGTTACTTACTATTCTAAACATCTTACCGTGTTATGTTAGTTACTATTCTAAACATCCTACCGTGTTATGTTACTTACCATTCTAAACATCTTACCGTGTTATGTTAGTTACTATTCCAAACATTTTACTGTGTTATGTTAGTTACAATTCTAAACATCCTACCGTGTTATGTTACTTACTATTCTAAACATCCTACCGTGTTATGTTAGTTACTATTCCAAACAACTTACCGTGTTATGTTAGTTACAATTCTAAACATTGTACTGTGTTATGTTACTTACTATTCCAAACATCTTACTGTGTTATGTTACTTACTATTCCAAACATTGTACTGTGTTATGTTACTTACTATTCCAAACATCTTACTGTGTTATGTTACTTACTATTCCAAACATCTTACTGTGTTATGTTACTTACTATTCCAAACATCTTACTGTGTTATGTTACTTACTATTCCAAACATTGTACTGTGTTATGTTACTTACTATTCCAAACATCTTACTGTGTTATGTTACTTACTATTCCAAACATTGTACTGTGTTATGTTACTTACTATTCCAAACATTGTACTGTGTTATGTTACTTACTATTCCAAACATCTTACTGTGTTATGTTACTTACTATTCCAAACATTGTACTGTGTTATGTTACTTACTATTCCAAACATCTTACTGTGTTATGTTACTTACTATTCCAAACATCTTACTGTGTTATGTTACTTACTATTCCAAACATCTTACTGTGTTATGTTACTTACTATTCCAAACATTGTACTGTGTTATGTTACTTACTATTCCAAACATTGTACTGTGTTATGTTACTTACTATTCCAAACATCCTACCGTGTTATGTTACTTACTATTCTAAACATCCTACCGTGTTATGTTAGTTACTATTCCAAACAACTTACTGTGTTATGTTAGTTACTATTCCAAACAACTTACTGTGTTATGTTACTTACTATTCTAAACATCTTACCGTGTTATGTTAGTTACTATTCCAAACATTTTACTGTGTTATGTTAGTTACTATTCCAAACATTTTACTGTGTTATGTTAGTTACTATTCCAAACATCTTACCGTGTTATGTTAGTTACTATTCCAAACATCTTACCGTGTTATGTTACTTACTATTCTAAACATCCTACCGTGTTATGTTAGTTACTATTCCAAACAACTTACTGTGTTATGTTACTTACTATTCCAAACATCTTACCGTGTTATGTTAGTTACTATTCCAAACATTTTACTGTGTTATGTTAGTTACTATTCCAAACATTTTACTGTGTTATGTTAGTTACTATTCCAAACATTTTACTGTGTTATGTTAGTTACTATTCCAAACATTTTACTGTGTTATGTTAGTTACTATTCCAAACATTTTACTGTGTTATGTTAGTTACTATTCCAAACATCTTACTGTGTTATGTTAGTTACTATTCCAAACATCTTACTGTGTTATGTTAGTTACTATTCCAAACATCTTACTGTGTTATGTTAGTTATTGTTCCAAACATTTTACTGTGATGATTAATCAAGTGTTCAAAAACCTCTTCTCAACCATCATAGTCTGTTTTTTTATTGTGGTTGTTAACAGAACACTTTTATCACTGTAGTTGTTAACAGAACACTTTTATCACTGTAGTTGTTAACAGAACACTTTTATCGCTGTAGTTGTTGACAGAACACTTATCGCTGTAGTTGTTAACAGAACACTTATCGCTGTAGTTGTTAACAGAACACTTTTATCGCTGTAGTTGTTAACAGAACACTTTTATCGCTGTAGTTGTTAACAGAACACTTTTATCGCTGTAGTTGTTAACAGAACACTTTTATCGCCGTAGTTGTTAACAGAACACTTTTATCGCCGTAGTTGTTAACAGAACACTTTTATCACTGTAGTTGTTAACAGAACACTTATCACTGTAGTTGTTAACAGAACACTTATCACTGTAGTTGTTAACAGAACACTTTTATCACTGTAGTTGTTAACAGAACACTTTTATTGCTCTTATCCAATTGTAACTCTCAAGTTTTTAAAGCCATCATGTTCCTATGTTAGTGTAGGCCTACATTTTACCAGAACTTTACACAAACAACAAGATGGCATTTGGAAAAAGTTACTGAACTACTTACTACATTTAATTAACAGGTCTGTAACTTGTGATATCTTTTTACTTAAAAAAAATTTCCAACCTCCCAAAAAGTAGTTTTGTCTCTGTATTACAGTATGTAATTCTGCTGTAAATGTTTTGACAATAATACCGAGAATGTTTGAGTAGTAGAACGACAAGTAACATACCTTTTTAATAACTTTGGCCATAGCTTTTCCATCATGAGTAGAAATAGAATCCACATAAAGATCCAGGACTAGGTCTAAGAGCTCGTGCTGAACAAGGAAAGATCCGAGTGCTTGGAAAAAGTCCTTTGTTAACTGTAACAAACAAAATTCTATCGTACTTCAACAGACATTTTATTTTCTGGAAAGACTTTTCGCTGTCTACTTCCTAGTTACACATCCAATAAGATTTCAGTATTACAGTTTGCAAATATTAATCTAAAAAATTCCCATATCTATACCCTAGAGAGAAATAAGATGAAATTTTGACTGTTTGTGGGTAGGTTAAATTTAAAACTGTTTAATGGGTAATTTTTTATGTGTAATATTCAGAACTTTAAGTTGCTTGCTTTCAACCAAATGAAATAGTGAAAGGGCTCCGAATTTTGTTTCTGTTCAAGACGAGTTAATAATTCTGTGTAGTTAGCTCGCCTTCAACTGATACAGGCCTTACTTTATTACATCTTTTCTTTTCCACCAGTTATTGCTTTAAAATTATAATAAATGTAACCAATAATCATAAAAAATATTTTGTTTTATCAATGGAGTGTTAGGTGAAATGAACATAGTCTAAAGATATCTCTCAATAAAGTTGGTATGATGAGAATAGTAATATTTTTTTTCGGGTCGTTAGTTGTATTTATCATAATTTGTACAATGTTTGTTATTCTCTAATGTACATTACAATCACTGAAAAGTAATTAAATCAGTTATCGCTGGTTTATATTAATAATAGGTTTGAATTCCAGAAAATATTTATTAGCTATTGGTTAGCGACAAAAGTTAAGAGGATTTAACAGCCTTTTTTTTATTCCAGTGTTGGATTCGAACAAATATCAGAATCAATAGAGTAGCTTCAGTAAATATTTCTTTAACCAAGCGTCTTGCTCAAAATGTCTGTAGGCTTACATTATAAGCCAATTATATATTCATTTGTTCAACAATTAACAGTTTTTTGTTACAAAGACAAGGTCACATTGTGTAAAATAGGAATGTGTTACATAGCTCTACAGTGAAACTGTAAAAAAAAAAATTGTTTTATTTCTTTATGAAACCATAATTTCTCAGTTAGGCTTAGTATTTGTGAAGCCCAAATTTTACACTGTTAGTATGTTAGAAACCTATATTTTTACATCAAGTGTTGGTATGTATAAAACCTACATTTTACAGTTAGGGATAATATTTATGAAACCAAAGTTATAGAATTAGGGTAGTATTTAATAAACCAAAGTTATTCAGTTAAAGTTAGTATTTATGAAACCAAAATTTTACAGTTAGGCTTAGTATTTATGATAGCGTGCCATTTTATATTCTCTAGTTTTTCTTAACAAATTGACTTTGAAGAGTTTACAAGTAGTTTTCCTGACCCAATAAAAGTAAGCAAACTGACCACAATCATAACACAGAGTTGACCACAAAGAACTTACCACATTCAGAGCCATTAAGTGTAGTGAGTCCATTCCATAGTTCACTCTAATTCTTGACGAAAGCATTTTCTTTAGTAATTCTAGAGCTTGGCTCTTCTCTTTACAAAATAACTCAGCATTTTCTGAGGTAAATTTTGAAAGGATGTGCTCAACAATAGCATATTGAGAATGTTTTAAAATCAGGTCTTTGTCACCGAAGTACGGCTTCAGCGTAACGTCGAGCAGAGGTAACAGTTTACCTAAACAGTCCTAAAAAAACAAAAACAACAAGAAACACCACTATGATAAAAAATATATTCAATGTTTGTATGTACTCAACATTTGTAACTTTTATACTTTTAGTCTGATTTTAAAATGAAACAAGATATTATGGAAGAAGTTATACATGTTAAATATGTGCAAACAAACCTAAAAAGTTATATAAGTCTTAAAAACAATCAAATTAAACATAAATAGACTATGACACAGAATGGATTTTTAATCAAAATAAACATAAACAGTATGACATTGATTTTTGGACAAAATTTCAAATTCGTGAAACTACGAAGAACAGTTTAACGATGAAAAAATAATGCTATGCATTTAAAACTTAAATTTAATTTTTCTAAATCTTCAAATTTTGATTTTTATCAATTACAGCTACCTTTAATATGAATGTTTTTAATATCACAAAAACTCTGATAAGCCTCAATTTTAACAGTAAGGTCTCGAAAATAACCTGAGAACATAAATGTGACACTCGTACAATGTCTTTTTAGTGAATTAAGTATGAGGTATGTGAGCTTCACCTGTGAATTCACACACTGGAGTACTTGAAGTAGGCCATGCTGGATGTGGGCAGGAGTATTGGTATCAACCACCAACTCAAGGAGCATTTTTAAAGTCGCAGCCTCGGTTGACAAGTGAGTGGCTGCTGCACTTCTGGTGGAAGGTCTCAGTCTGGATGAAGAGTCGTTCTCCTTCAATGCTGGAGATAACCACTTTGACAAAATAATAGGTAGTTGGCTGTTTAAAAAAAAACAGCATGAAAATTCTAATCTACTAACCTTCAACCTATAGAACAATCTACTAACCTTTAATTTATACAACAATCTACTAACCTTTAACCTTATACAACAATCTACTAACCTTTAATTTATACAACAATCTACTAACCTTTAACCTATACAACAATCTACTAACCTTTAATTTATACAACAATCTACTAACCTTTAACCTATACAACA